TAGCACAATATATCTTCTTACGTCGCAACGCGGGTATCTCCGACGTAATAATAATAATATAGTCACTTGACACGAATAAAGACGCTCGGGTGTTTTGACGGCGAAAAAGGATGCGTGAAAAAAAAATTGCGATAAAAAAGCGTGAACATGGGGAATTCGTATACTCGCAAACATAGTCGAAAATAAGTCTTGTTCGTCTTTCTTCGCTGTCAAATAGGTTAACGCGTCTTTCTTTGCCCTCGCCTATGTTAAGAGTCCTTCTTCGCCGAAATTTTTTTACGCGTCTTTTTTCGCTGTCAACTTTTGAGCTCGCGCCTTTATTTGTATCTAATGACGATATGTATATATGCACAGTAAAATGAAACATTATACGCAGTTAATTTGCTTTTATTGTACTAGCTGTGTTTTAGTTTTTCTAAATGTTATGTTAGAAAAAAAATATTAAAACTAAAAAAAAATGTTTGGTAGGTTTTGGTTGGTTATGGTAGGAAATTTTGGTAGGAAAAAAATGTATCGGTGGCAACGCTGCCTACAACTACTCCTTGACCTTAAAAAAATTGGTCAAAAATTGTGTTTTTCGAAAAAAAACGGATTTGTTCCAAACAAAAATTTCGTGCGTTTTATTACACTAATATTATAGAATTTGAAACAAGAAACACGATTCTACAGTTTAAAAACCGAAAAAAAATTTAACATCTAACAAATGTAATTATAGTGTGTCCCTGGGACCCTTACGGGAATCTTGCGTTTCGATTCAAGGGGAAAATCAATTGCTTGGATTGAGAGCTCTGTGGGATTGTTGGAGTGGACATCTTACATTGTCAAACATTTTTGAAGCGATTGCGCCAGCCTTATTTTATTACTAAAAGATGGGTATCAATCGAAAAAGGTTTGAAAATGCTTTATTTGTGACCTTTATTTAGGAGGGTTGCCATTTGTCCGAGCAATCAAATTCAAATTAGTTCATCAGTTTATTGAAATACACACACATATCACAATATCAGACGAAAGAGAATTAAGAAGATTTTAGTTTGAGAATACTTTTGAAAAGAAATTTCAAAAATAACAGGTCAAATTAAAGATCTCAGCCTGTAGATATATGATAAACAGGGCCGAAAGATTTAAGCTTTTGCTTGGAATTGCTTATTTGCTTTCTGCTTGGGTACAAAAATTGTAAACCAATGGTTTGTCTCTACGGGAAGGCACTGGTGTTTTGAAAAGATTAAAAACCATTTATCTCAAATGAAGAATAACGAATATTTAAAAGAAATTAATACGACCAGTGCAGATCTCTATTATTTCAGAATATCAAGCAACACTTGATTGCCCATTATAATTTTTCAATCCTCGAAATAAACTGAATAAAAAACAGTAAACTGTACACTCAATTTTGTTGTTTAGCGAGCATATTTGCAAGCATATTTACCAATGTTTTAGTGCTTATCTAAGCGCTTAAAATGGATTTTTTCTTTCTTATTTTCTTCGGCCCTGGTGATAAAGTTTTATTTTTTGATTAAGAACTATTTCCATCGGTATAGGGTGATTTAAATTTGTTGAAATTAAAAATATGCACTATGCGAGACTGCTTTTCGCTCAGAAACGGCCGCACGGTTTTAGATGAAATATGGCACTCGGATCTCTTATAATTCTGAGTAACATTTGGAATATTGTTTAAGTTTTTGAAATTCAATTTTGGACGTTTTAACGTCATCAGAACAAAATATGTATTATAGCCATAGGACCACCATAAATCCAATATAACTACATAAGTATACAATCTGGTGCAGCAAGACCATACAGAGTAACTTCTATACTCTTGTTCATCTTGGGACAATACCACAGGCCGACAAGGTTTCAGAACTTGAAACCTGTATATACTTTTCCGAAGGTTTTCGGTGCGCTAAATTAGAATATGAACTCATAATTTCTCTGTTGACTCCGGTTTAAAAGATATCCTAACCTAAAGGTGCAAAAATCGTTGTTTTCCCCTTTATGAGGTTATGTAGCATCAGAAAAATTTATTTGTTCGCAAAACCATTAACGGAACCTTAAAGCATAACCCTTACCCTTCAAAACGCCGTTGAGTTTGTTAAAGTATGTTTTAATCTCGTCGAGAAATCGTATCTATAACTTTTTAGTTGTGTAAACTTTTTTCCACTACATACAAGTATATCAAGTATACATAACCGAAAAGTTCAAAAAAAAAAACTTTCGACGAGAATAAAAGATATTTTAACAAACTCAACGACATTTTGAAACGTAAGGGTTATACTTAAAGATGGCTTTGGGATCACATCAGCATCTGTGATGCTACATAACCTCAAATATAGGTAGAAACAGCTATTTTTGCACTTTTAGGTTAGGATATCTTTTACACCGGAGCCAACAGAGGAATTCTGAAATTATGGTCAAATTTTGTCGGCCTGTCTAATTTGAGATTCTAAGTTCTTGTTACAATTAAAATATAGGCTATAAATGAAGCTCTGTTCAGAATTAAGAATGAAGGTAAAATTTTGCTCATTTTCTGGAGTTTTGCAATTAAAAATTGTACACAGACTCAATAAATATCGTATGCATATATAATACCAAGCTTTGAATTTTTCTTCAATAATATTTCAAAATCAAATTGCACTAAGTCAATTAAAACACCTTTATTTTACTGAGGCACACCTTATAAGATTAGACTAGTTCGAATTTTCTACAAAAGTTTCTTTTTAAACTCAACAGCTCTAAATTTCTTGCAGGGCATGTTATCTGCATATATCTGTGTAAACACATGAATGTGTTTATGATTTTATGATGGTGTGCGAAAAAAGTTTGTTGCTTAAGTTTATTAATTTTAGCAAGGCTGAACTCAATAATAATTTACATATTGCATTAATAATAAACACATATGTATAAGCAGATAATTGCATTTTAATAAGATAATTCTGGGCTTCATTGCTGGATATATGTATGTATGTAATAAAATGCAAATCTACTGTGGCATGCATACACGTATAATATGTACATATTTTATTGTTTATTTTGAGTTGAATAATTGAATTTTTTTCCGAATAGCAAACTTCTGGAAAATCGTGTAGAAAAGAAGTAACAGTAGGGGAGCCCACGATGCTAAATCGGAATTTGCTCGAGCGTCATTTTGACGTGTTGGATTTTGAAGATTATATGATGGGAAGAAAAAAAGGGCGTGTGATGTTTTTCCTTCCAGCGGTGGGCTGAGGATATACAGGCTTCAAAAATGTAAAAAAAAAACAGTTACATGGATTTACTCGAGCGCATCAGATATTGATACTGAATAAATCAAACGTGTTTCTAATGACGGAAATATGCTAATCTGCCGGTCTGCATGGTGGGATTGGGCGTACGGAAGGGTCAAAAATGGGTGACAAACAAATTTACTCGAGCGCGTCAGATATTCACAAGGGATGTTAAATGGACCCCAATGAACCTCCCATTCAATAATCGTGGCGTCTTCTTAAAGATGCAAAAAAATCGCCGTTTGGATTTACTCGAGCGCGTCAGATTTTCATACAGAAGATTCATCTCGATGCCCTGGTCGTGCTGTTCCATAATCTGACGATTATCTGGAGGGGTTTTCTTAATCTGACGGTTTAAAAAAATAACTTCGTTTCTGAGATGCACAGCATATTATTTAGTAAAATTTTAAAGGATATATTTCATGTAACACCACGAGTGCTTTGATCGCCCATGATTGCGTGATACTATGTATACTAAAATACTATAAAAAGAATGAGCAAGAAGGAAGCGGAGTTTAACATTTTTTCATGTATATGTAAGTAAACTTAAGGTTGCCGTATTCAAAATTACCTGAAAATAGTGATTTTAGATAAGAAATGAGTAAAATTCACATACACAAGTTAAAAAAGTAATTTTGAACTGATATTTGTTGAGCTAAAATTTACATCATGTGCTATTAATTTTTCTTAATATAATTTTAGTCTAATACTCCTTCGATTTACGATTATTTCAATCCTAATTCAAACTATTTTGAGACTGGGATTAAATTAATCGTAATCGTAGACGCACTTAATTACAAATGTAATTTCATCGCCCAGCTGAAATTTAGATAAAGGATTTGATTCGCAAATGCACATACATACGTATGTACTTATACATATACAGCGGAGCAACATACGAGCCTTTAGTGAGAGTTTGTTAGGGCTAATTCTCACATTTCACTCGCAACTGGTATCATTTGCGAGCATTTGGTCCGCTGGGTATACTTACAGTCATATGACTGTGACAAATAATATGAACGGAAACAGCAAACAAATCAAAAAATAACAAATTTCGTAAAAAAAAATCTGTAGTAGTTTTGAAAAACAGCAAGTGTACACGACAATCTTTGTTGACGGTTTTCGTCACTCCGGCTTGTGGAAATCGTCAAATTATATACTTCCCGTTATCCTTCAGCTGTTTGCTTCATAATAAAAAAAAATATTGACCGCGCTCGAGAATGTCCAGGTAACGTTTTCTTTTTTTTTTTTTTGCAAATTTGTGACCCTCCCAATCCATTGCGTCACGCTCAAATCATCAGATTATTGAAATACACACTCTTCAGCATGTAATTAACCCACTATTTCCTAATCTGACGCGCTCGAGTAAATGCACCTATCAATTTTTTTTTACTATTCCGATCGCCTCCTATGCGCGCGGCTCTACATAGATGGCTTAGATTTGGCAGAGGTACTCAACAGGGTGCATGCACATGTTAATCTGACGCGCTCGAGTAAATGCCCGAATACCCTCTTGGGCTGCCCTACTATAAAGGGCGTTTTGAAAAGATATACTTATGTAAGTATATTCTGATACCAATATTTTGTAGAATTATAAAAAATGCATATGCGAAAAAAATAATTTCTTTAAAAATCGTATTTTCCTATAAGTAGCACATAAATGAGATCTCATGCTATGGTGTATACATATTTTGATGAGTATACCTAAGTATGTTTGAAAGTAAAAAATTGTGCACTGACCATTAAAGTTTTGCATGCCACTTATGGTTCGCTCATTTTGACTGGAAATCGCTGTCGGCTGTATCGTCAATGCCGCCTCTACTGCTACCATTTCTGGCTTTTCGGCTACCGCTAGCGCACTCTTGGCTCTGACTCTGTTTCTGGCTTTGTTGGCTGCTGCGGTGGCTATTGTGGCCGCGTTTGTTGTCGCTGCGGGCAATTTCGGAGTAGCGTGTCTTATTTCATTACCAGTCGACGATGCTGCTAATAGAGCTGCGTGCCGCGGAATTATATTCATTGATGAATTATTTGTATCGCCTTCAAATATCAACGCAGAAAGCACCGAATCTTTTGTTCTCCTTTTTGTCCCAGTTTTGGACGACATAGCCGCCGCGGCTGGCGCTTGTATCAATTGATTCGGCAGGCCAGCAGCCATGACGTCAGTTGTACACATTGACAGCAGGGATTTGTGTAGTGGATGGTGGTGCTGCTGTTTATGTTGCTGTGGAAGCTCTTCAGAATTGCAATTTGCGACCTGTGGCACCTTCTCACCATAGAAGTCGCGACATAGCCTTTCGTATTGTTCTCGTTCGGACTGCATAGCAGCGGTCAAATACTGAAAATTACTCGCATCAAGCATATCGGCTGTTGATAGCCTTAGCGAGGCGGGCGTTGCTGTAGGAACTTTTAAGCCAAAAATATTATTTAAATGCTGCAACGGTGTTGGACTACTACCGGCACCGGCACTTTGTGTTGACAGCTGTTGCTGTTGGAGCAATTGTTTTCGTGGTGGGTTGTAGTAGTATGAGTCACAGTGTTGTTGATATGAAAATATCTCCGCAGCCGCATGCGACTTTGGCTCATTGTCGGCCGGAAAGCACATTTTCGCCTCGTCCATCGCCCTACACGCCGACAAATCATTGGAATATTTACGGCAGTGCTCGTCATCAGCATTTATTCTATTCATCACGTAAAGATTATTGTAATCCAGTAACATTCCGTAAGCCACTTGAGTAGCAACAATACTCGTCTGGTGATTTGCTAGCAACAATGGCATACCGGCAACAATTTTAGCGACTACTTGGCTAAAACAACACCAGACATTCCGCGTAAGATCCTATTCTCATTTAGATTCTTAGTCTGGAAAACAAAGTACAAAAAATAGTTAATTTAGTTATTGACTAAATCTGGTGTGTAATTAGTCCAAATATATTTCATACTGTGCACATACAAACATTCATATCCATTAAAGCTTTTGTAAAAATATGAGATTTAATGGAGATGAAAATATTCAGTACGACATAGGGCTGGTGATTTCACCCGGGTATTGTACTACCCGAGTGGCCCGCGTAAACCGGGTACCCGGACAGTATGGTAATTATCCGGGTACCCGAAAAAATGTAGAGAAGTAAAAATTAAGCGTATTTACGATTATATACCGCAAACGAACGTACATAGGGACAATCTATAAAAATCTTCCATACCATATGGAGAAATATTATAATATACTAGATCGCCCTCTGCCGCTTCGCTGAGTGTAATTTATTTCAATAAAACTCAACATACTTAAACTATGCCAAAAATAGAAGATTTTAAATTTTTGTTTAACCATCTTCAAAATATTTTCAATCTAAAACTCAAACCTCTCTTTTGTGATACTTTTTCAATTAACTTATATTCTGAATTGAATTTTAGTTTTAAAACAGGTGACGACCCCCTAACATGTAGTTTGGAGATGAAGTCAGTGTTGCCACCGCTCTAAGAACTTTCTAACCAAGATTAGACGAAAAAGTTCCAAATGTAAGGAAAAATAACCAAATTTTTTATTAGATTAACAATTCAGGTCATCACAAGTTCTTTTATATAATACGTATAGAAAAAGTTTACAAACCAAAGAAAATCATTTATTTGCATTTTGAAAAGTAAATCCTTTTAAGGCTGTAATATGTAAGTACATATTTTAGAAATTCAGTCTTCCCGTATTAGATGCATATGTATGAATGTAAATATCTTCGTAAACATTACCAGACTCTAAATGACGTTTTTAAACAAGTACATAGGTACACAGTTTCCAACTTCTTTGTAAGAATCAATAAAATACCTAATCAGCGTGAACAACCACATTGAGTATATTTTAAGATTAAGACTAAACAACTAAAAATTGGACTTATTGAACTATATCGTCGCTCAGCGCGAAATACCGGGTATACGCCAAACGTAGTACTGCCTATACGATGGTAAATAAATTTTACAAAAGCGCGAAAACCCGATTTTTCCAAAACTGTGGAATGGTATTTTCACTGAACCTACTTGCTATAAGATTATTATTATTAAACTTAACCTAAATTAATAAAGTAAGCAGTAATGGGAAAAGAATAACCAAATCCCTTTTTTATTGTACATACATCGACAGGTCAATTAAAAACTACAGTAAATATTAAAAAATAACCAAAACGGGAAAGATCTTAACAACTTAACAGCCAAGAAAAAAATAACCAAAATTGGTTAAAAGTAACCAAAACGGCAACACTGGATGAAGTCCTTTCAATCCCATTTCCATTGCTACACACATTGTAATAATTCGTTGAAATTAGTGAATAGTTTGAATTTAACATTTTAAACTACGTACTGAAACCTCTTTCGTCATTCTATAAAAACTTATTAAACCCCTTTCGCCTGACACCCATATTGTGTAAGTAATTCATTTAAATTAATTGAATTTAATTTTTAAACGGATGGCAATCCTTGTAAAACACCTCAATAATATTCTAAATGTTTAATCTAAAGTTTTCTTGGCAATCTTTGTTTCTCTAGTTTTTCAGATAGCTTGCGTATAACTTATTTAAATTTGACTTTTTAAAACTACAACCTTTTTAGGCATCTTTCGTCTGACACCCATATTTTTATACAAATTTCAAATAAATAATTTCTTTAACCTTTAACTGTGGAGGTGCTGGTAAAATTTACCCCTCCTTTAAATTTTTTGAATTACTCTCCTATGTTGCGCTCCAGTAACTTGATTCTCTCAGTATCTTCTCATTTCGTTGTCATTATTGATCAGTTACGTTTTTGCTGTGGAAGATGTAGCGTGGGCGGAGCAATGCTGATGCTGGTGTAAAAATTACCACTCCTCAACGTTTATGCAACTTTTTTTTTCAAGGAAGATTGACGTGTATTTTTTTACAATTATATTTTTTTAATATAATCTCTTGTATTTCTTTAAATATATATTTTTTGCTGAGAAAAGATGCCCCTTAAGCTTTAAATTAATTTTTATTTTACTCTTTTTTATAAGTTTACTATGTGATGTTTTCGTTCTTGTGAATAATAAAAGCCTTGTGAAATAAAGTGGGACTTTTGTTGATTTTAAAAGAAAAATAAAATTTTGTATTTATTTTAGCTTAAAAATCTAGTAGCTTAGTTTAAAAGGAAAAATAATTATAAAATGGCCAGTTTGCATTCAAATTTCTAACTGAAATTCGAAGGGGTAAAATTTACCACCAGGTCATAGACTAGTCCAAAAAATTCACCTCCATAGTTAAAGGTTAATTCAAACTGAATTTACTTTTTCAAACAGGTGGCAGCCCTTCTCCATGAGTATGGAACTGATTTTATATATCCCCATAACAAGTTCCAGTACTCTATCACAAATATTTCCTGAGATATGGATTATGAAAAATTCCGTTTATATAAGTCTAATCGAGATTAAATCTAACCTATATTTGAAGGTGACCTAAATGACACCAGCTTACAAAATTTCATGATGATCGGTTGAGTAGTTAAAGGCCTGTATGCAGTTCTTAAGAAAAGCTAAAATTCTATACAAAATGACGTACAAGAAATGGCTAAGAAATTTTCTTAAGTCAAATTTCCTTCAGGCAGTACGCAGTTCTTGAGAAATTTGCTACGCTTTTTACTACAGTTTTCTAAAGTTTTGTGTGAAAAAAGAGCACAAGGCAACCCAGGTTTGCAACAGAAATATATGCCCGTTCCATTATTTNCGCGAAATACCGGGTATACGCCAAACGTAGTACTGCCTATACGATGGTAAATAAATTTTACAAAAGCGCGAAAACCCGATTTTTCCAAAACTGTGGAATGGTATTTTCACTGAACCTACTTGCTATAAGATTATTATTATTAAACTTAACCTAAATTAATAAAGTAAGCAGTAATGGGAAAAGAATAACCAAATCCCTTTTTTATTGTACATACATCGACAGGTCAATTAAAAACTACAGTAAATATTAAAAAATAACCAAAACGGGAAAGATCTTAACAACTTAACAGCCAAGAAAAAAATAACCAAAATTGGTTAAAAGTAACCAAAACGGCAACACTGGATGAAGTCCTTTCAATCCCATTTCCATTGCTACACACATTGTAATAATTCGTTGAAATTAGTGAATAGTTTGAATTTAACATTTTAAACTACGTACTGAAACCTCTTTCGTCATTCTATAAAAACTTATTAAACCCCTTTCGCCTGACACCCATATTGTGTAAGTAATTCATTTAAATTAATTGAATTTAATTTTTAAACGGATGGCAATCCTTGTAAAACACCTCAATAATATTCTAAATGTTTAATCTAAAGTTTTCTTGGCAATCTTTGTTTCTCTAGTTTTTCAGATAGCTTGCGTATAACTTATTTAAATTTGACTTTTTAAAACTACAACCTTTTTAGGCATCTTTCGTCTGACACCCATATTTTTATACAAATTTCAAATAAATAATTTCTTTAACCTTTAACTGTGGAGGTGCTGGTAAAATTTACCCCTCCTTTAAATTTTTTGAATTACTCTCCTATGTTGCGCTCCAGTAACTTGATTCTCTCAGTATCTTCTCATTTCGTTGTCATTATTGATCAGTTACGTTTTTGCTGTGGAAGATGTAGCGTGGGCGGAGCAATGCTGATGCTGGTGTAAAAATTACCACTCCTCAACGTTTATGCAACTTTTTTTTTCAAGGAAGATTGACGTGTATTTTTTTACAATTATATTTTTTTAATATAATCTCTTGTATTTCTTTAAATATATATTTTTTGCTGAGAAAAGATGCCCCTTAAGCTTTAAATTAATTTTTATTTTACTCTTTTTTATAAGTTTACTATGTGATGTTTTCGTTCTTGTGAATAATAAAAGCCTTGTGAAATAAAGTGGGACTTTTGTTGATTTTAAAAGAAAAATAAAATTTTGTATTTATTTTAGCTTAAAAATCTAGTAGCTTAGTTTAAAAGGAAAAATAATTATAAAATGGCCAGTTTGCATTCAAATTTCTAACTGAAATTCGAAGGGGTAAAATTTACCACCAGGTCATAGACTAGTCCAAAAAATTCACCTCCATAGTTAAAGGTTAATTCAAACTGAATTTACTTTTTCAAACAGGTGGCAGCCCTTCTCCATGAGTATGGAACTGATTTTATATATCCCCATAACAAGTTCCAGTACTCTATCACAAATATTTCCTGAGATATGGATTATGAAAAATTCCGTTTATATAAGTCTAATCGAGATTAAATCTAACCTATATTTGAAGGTGACCTAAATGACACCAGCTTACAAAATTTCATGATGATCGGTTGAGTAGTTAAAGGCCTGTATGCAGTTCTTAAGAAAAGCTAAAATTCTATACAAAATGACGTACAAGAAATGGCTAAGAAATTTTCTTAAGTCAAATTTCCTTCAGGCAGTACGCAGTTCTTGAGAAATTTGCTACGCTTTTTACTACAGTTTTCTAAAGTTTTGTGTGAAAAAAGAGCACAAGGCAACCCAGGTTTGCAACAGAAATATATGCCCGTTCCATTATTTATTGAGGAAAGCGTGAGGCAACAGGCTGTGAAGTATCAAAACTGTCAAAATTCCTTGGACACACACACGAAATAATGGCCAATTTTTCTTGACCGATTTCTTGAGAGCTGCATACCAGCCTTAAAGCGTGAAAGCGTAACAAACAAACAAATTCACTTTCGGATTTTTAATATTAATAAGGATATTCGTATCTAAAGGTAGTAGCAATAATGAGAAGTGAAGTAATGGTTTCTTTTTATCCGTGACTGCATAGCTTAAGTTTTCCCATCGCTCGAGCAACATATTTATGATTAGCTTTATCATCGCTGATCACAAACAGATATATGACACATTTCAGATTAGCAGATAAGTAACGGTAGCAGTCCGTGGCCGTATTTATTGATATTTGTCAAACTTTAAATTGTGAGGGGTGTG